TACAATCACCCAGGCGATCCACAACCCTTCTCTTAGGTGCGCCCGGACATAGTTGAAGAATTGCTGGCGCAGAAAGTCGCTGCATCTGCAGTTTTCAACCATCGTTAGCCCAGTACCATCTTGAATGTTAAATTCTCTAAGATGTAGAATGACACAGCATATCTCACTCTCCCTTGTGCATCAAATGTGAAGGGGATAACACTCACATACTGAGAGATGTTGACAACATCCTTGTTCGGAGTCTTCGGACAATGATTTCTATTGAATCGGAGGTCCAACACCTTTATATTGAGAGATGCAGTCTTCGTATTGCCCTCCGATGGAGGTAGTTCTATGATTAGTCATTTGACACCATGGTCTTGAACACTCGTTGACTATGGTATTCATAAGGATAACTTGTTCTTTCTCATTGAATTCTTCAATAGGTTCATTGACCCTAACCTGCTTCTTACCAGCAGCATGCATGCACAAGAACTTGTCCACCTCTGTTTACCCTGCTATAACTTCTGGCAGTGTGTACGGCTACTTTTCTCTTCCTCTTTGTCTCTATCGCTGCTATCCTCTTCTTCTTTCTTCCAGGCGCTTGTAGTCCTAGCCACTTGAGGCTGAGAAGAGGGAAAACATGGCACCTTGATATAAGACTGCTCGCACCCCTCGCTTGTCCACTTGCTGCTTCACGCGCTGCTCCATACATTCACCTCGCTGTCACCGGGGGATGGCGGAGCTGCAAGGGGCTCGACTGAACACGACACACCTACGACGCAGGGGGCAGCCCAGCTCATAGGCATTCAATTCCGCGGCTGCCTTTGGAAAATGGCTGCTGCAAAATCGACCACCCAACAGTATAGGGAAAAAAAAAAAAAAAAAACCTCCTAGACTTCCGGGCCTTCGGGATCGTTGGTGGGGGCGGTGAAAAATAAGGCACTATTTTTTTTGGGCTGCCCAGGGTGTGAACAAACGCCCTGGACCATCCAAATTTTTTTTGGCCGTTGGGCTGGGGCCCACACATCCCGACCGAGATCCGGACCCAGACCCTGGACCACAGACGGCCGGGATCCCTGTCCGGTGGTCCGGATCATAGCCATGCTAAAAACGGAACTCCCATGGCGGGAGATGGCCTTATACCAGATAAGGAATTTGGTTTCCTTCAAGGTTCATGAAGAAATGGAATGCCATTGGTGCATCATGAACAAGTACTGGTCTCCACGGTCAGGGCATAGGGGTAGAGCCCACTAGAGACAAAGTGGAAGAATTATAGTGTTTCATCATCGTTAACCGCTTCAGCCAATTCATGAGGCTAGCTCCTGACAAACTAAATGGATTTTGAGACTATTACTAAAAGCGGAACTCCCATGGCAGGAGATGGCCTCATACCAGATAAGGACTTTGGTTCCCTTCAAGGTTCATGAAGAAATGGAAGGCCCATGAACAAGTACTGGTCTCCTAGATCCAAATGGTCAGGGCATAGGGGTAGAGCCCACCAGTAGAGCAGGGATCCCCCAAGCTTGCGCTGGGCTGAGCTTATCACGACCTGGTCGAAAGCATTCCCTCGAAGCTGGAGGGACACAAGGACTAGAGAAGAAATTTTGAGGCAACCCCTCTTTGGCAACGATCTAGTAACATACCAAGAGAATCGACCATGGGTGCAGTTGGGTAGAGACAAAGGTGGAGAGCATGGGTTGCAAATGGGATAGAGCACCTTTGGGACGATGTAAACCGTAGCTGGAGAATGTAGAAAGAGTTCAAAACACGCCTGAAAGGGCATCACAATCTACAGAAAATCTTAGAGGAGCTTTTGGACAGCATACCATTGGTTGGAGGAAAATCTTTTTTTTTTTTTTTTTTTCAAGAAACAACCCGGGCGAATGCTAGGTGCGCTGATAAGAGCAGACGCCACTAGCAAGGCCGGGGAGGCTCCATCTATTGGTGGGGAGCGGCACCTGCTGGAAAACGGGTCCAGCGTCCCTATGAACAATCACAAATCATACAAGAGGCCAGTAAGTGGAAGAAAGGTGAGGGGCCGACAGTAGGGAACCACCTAATCCCTTCAGTGGCTTTGAAATTTACAAAGTTTACTGACGTGAATAAGGAAATAGCAACCTTTAAGGTTCACTAATTAGAGGATACAGGGAGATCTATAGTGAAGGTTAGAAAGGAACCACTGATAACTGAAGAATTCTACATTCAGAACCTCAGAAAAGTACGCCGGTTAATGAATGAGCAGAAATGGTCCTTGCAAAAAAAAGATAAGGAAGAGAAGGCCATATGGCTTTTTAGACCTGACAGGGACATAAAAGACTTGGAGGTGGACCCGGTGGAGTGGGGCTGGTAGGAACAGCCAGGAAGTGGGTAGCTATGGACGAGTATACACTGAAGGTGGGATACAGATCGAGACATAAGGCAAAATGCCTTAAGAAAACTATAGCAGAAAGATGGGAAGAGCATATGCAGATAGAACCCCAATTGCTTACAATCCATTCCATGGAATTATTATTCATCCGTCAGACCTCAAAGGGTTAGAAGCCTCCAATGGCTGATAATGTACCTGGCAGTCTCAGTAAATACCAGGTTGGACTCAAGGCGTATGGAGGATAGGTTGATAGAGTCTCCTCTCGTGTGTTCAGACAATCAACCAGAAATGGTGGCTCATTGTTTCTTTGAATGCAAGCATGCTCAAGATGAAACGGTTTCACCCAGTTGACCCGACATTTGCAGACACAAAGATTTCATCCCTAGACCTATGCCCGAGCCCTGTACATTGACCCTGTGTGACGAGTGAGATTCGATCCCTAGACCTACCCTGTACCCTGTACATAGACCCAGTGATCTGTGTGGGACTCGATCCCGTGACCTGTCCTACCCCCTAGGCTAGTCTCTAGGTTGGATAGGAGGACTCGATCCCTAGGTCTGTAGATTAGGAGTTAGGTCTGTTACGATTAGGTTTAGGAAGGTCTGTCCTAGAAGTCTCTATCTGAATCTACTGAGGCCTAGAGTCTGTCTGTAAGTCTGTAGGCTCTAGAAGGTCGTAGGTCCCTGTAGGCCAGTCCAGTCAGCAAGTACCAGGGGTAGGGGCTGCACGTGGGGAAGGTTCTGGACCACGCGGTTGGTTCCACACGTTTTGGCAGAAGGCCAAACGTCTTCCCTGAGCCACACGTTTTGGCCCAGGCCCACACGTTTTGAGGCAGGCCTGAGTACCTCCAAGGAAGTATAACTAAAGAGGCAGCGTCCAGCCATTCATTCATTCGCCTGTGAGCCATGCAGACGTGCTGCCTTGGTATCTTGTGCGTGGAGGTCTGCAGGTGCCTGGAGAGGAAGTGGGCAGTGAAGAAGACAGCGGTCATAGCTGGCCAGTGAGGAGGACATTGGCGGCCATAGCTAGGAGGAGGAAGACGACGACGGCCATAGCCGCCCAGCTGCTGACTCAGACAGAGTGTACAGAGTGTGTATGTGTGTGTAGCGTGGACATTCAGGGTGATCCTCGTACGCGCGTGCATGAGGGAGAGTGAGGCTGGTGGTTGAGACAGTGTTCAGCGGCCATAGCCGCGAGTTGTACAATTGTATTGAACAGAGTTTAAGTGCAAGTTCGTTGTTGATTCTGAGTTGACGAGTTTGGTTTTGCCATCAGTTCTCGTGCATGCATGTTGTAAGCAAGTCTGAAGTCGAGTCTGATTGCATTGGTATCGGAGCTGGTACCCGTTGTCCCCGTCGAGCTGCAGCAAGCGAGGAAGGAGAAAGCCACCATAGCCAGAGTACGGCAGGAGAGAGAGAGGGAGCGACAGAGAGAGAGAGAGAAGGGGGACGGCAGCCATAGCTGCCAAGCTCGGGGAAGCAGACCACCATCAAGAAAGAAGAAAGAAGGGACGTACAGAGAAAGAAAAAGGAAGTTGATGAAGGGGGAGGTGAAGTCAGCCATAGCCAAGGTGAAGAAGACGACGACAGTGACGAAGAAGAAGGCCCACCATAGCTGGAAGGTTGGAGGGTTGACCAGAGGAGTTGACCAGCGTTGACCGGGTGTTGACCAACGTTGACTGGGTGTTGAGCAAGAGTTGACCAAGGGCGTTGACTAGAGTTGACCGGGGCGTTGGCCAGGAGCATTGACCGGTGAGTTGACCGAGACCATTGACCAGAGCGTCAACCCAGCTGGAGCGAGAAGACGAGCTGTATTTTCCTGCTAAGCCCTGGCCTTTCCCTTACCCTATGGGTGTGCACCTTCACCTTGGTACTTGCTAACGTCGAGTCTGTCAGAGTCAGTCAGTCATATCTCCCTGTCACTTCTGTCCTGGATGTGGTCATAGAGCCGTGAGTCCAACCCGTGTAGCAGGGTTGCATCCCCGCCGACCGTATTGCAGAGGACCGGTAAAGCCGACCGGTCGGCGGTCCGCCGACCAGTCAGAAAACAGCCTTCCACT